GGGGGGGGGGGGCAGGTAGCTAAAGTGAGCCCTGAACTCAAGTTCCCAAACTGATAAATAACCCTTCCCAGGGAGCTTATACCAGAGGCCACCTAGTAGGGCTCAGGCAGTAGGCCCAGGAGGGCTTCCTGGAGGCAGTGGCCCCACCGCCCAGGTTGAAAACTCCACAAACACCCACCCCAAAAGCCTCTCTGGCCCCTCAAGTATAAGCCCAGCAGAGGAGGCGAGTGGACATTGGCTACCTCATTGCCCTTGTCTAAGTCGGGCAGATCGCTTCGGGACAAGAACAGTGAGCCACCATTGAGCTGGGAAACCAAGGGCAAGGCGTAGTAGCTTCAGAGGCCCTGCCCCGGAGTCCCTGGCCCACACACACGCACACACCAGGGCTGCATTTATTCCTCTACTACGCCAGGCCCAGTGTAGACAGGTCGCTGGACACGAAACAGTGAACAGGCAGGTGGCCGGCCCTGGCCAACTCACAACTGGGAGGGGCAGTTTTGATGCATGAATCACCCACATGAGAGTCACCTGGGGCAAGGCCAGGACCAGCTTCCTGAGGAGAGACTGACACTCCAGGCAACCAGTGCTGGGCAGGGGGAAGAGCAAAGGCAGCAGCCCTGGGCCAGAGGGGCCTGCTTGCCATGTGGGCTGGGGCGGACCCAGGGCAGGATCCCCAGAGGGCAGTAAAGCTGGGAGTGTCTCGGCCAGATTGGGTGTCACAACTTGAACATACAACGACAAAGATGGGGGCTCTGTCAGGCTTGGGGACTCCCAAAGGTGCCACTGCGATCTCCTGGACCCACCCTATCCACTTCCACCCACCCTCTCACCTGGGCAGGGCTGGTCCCATTGGTGACAGGTGATGGCAGTGGACCTGTGGGGATAGTATGTCAATGGCTGCCCAGCTCTCATGCTCCACCCCCACCCCAGTCCGCCAGAGCAGCAACCCACCTTCCACGTGCTCCTCAGTGGGTGTGACCCGCAGCCTCTTGAAATACTCGTCTGTTTCGGGGTCCACCACTAGTAGCCGGGCCTCATCCTCTCGTGCCTTGATGCTGGCGACCACCTCTGCATGGCGCAGCCCCTCCACATTCTGACCATTCACCTGCCACCAGCAGCATGGGATAGCACTGAGGGCAGCCCCCACCAGCCCCCCGAGCTGCCTGGCCAGGTGTGGCATCAAATATTAATCAATGTTGTCACCAGCCGCGGCAGCAAAAGGAATGCCAGCTCAAGTTCCCAGAAACTCCCCTCCTCCCAGGGAGGACCTGGGGCCCAGACACAAATGGGGGACACAGGCATAGGCATGCAGATGACAGACATAAGCACAACACACACACACAGGGGACACAGGCACCTGACACCCCAAAGCCTCAGTGATGGGTACCTCAATGAGTCGATCCTGGGCACGGAGGCCAGAGTGGGCGGCAGGCGAGCCCAGGTCCACTGAGCGAATGTACTGTCCTGGCCGGGACTTGTCACTGTGCAGGTTGAATCCATAACCCTGAGGGCCCTTTCGAAGGTGGCAGAGCCTAGGGCGAAGCTCTCTTGGGGGCCCATTAACATCCTGCAGGCACATGGGACTAGGGGTCAAGCTATAGCTCCACCCCCAGAGGCCACTGCCACCACCCCAGGGCCTCTGGCCCCCAGTGTGCAGCACAGCCGTGGTGGTGGCAGGAGGGAGCCACAACCCCACACTGGGAATCAGGCCCTGCCCAGTGGCAGAGACAAACACTGTTCACCCATGCCCCAGGGGGGCCCCATTAGGCTTTCTATGACTGAGCTCCAGCTGCGACATCTTGGACAAAGCCTTAGTTTCCAAACCCCAAAATGACTTCTGATGGGGCCAGGGGTCTTAGGGATGTTGGGAGAACCAAGAGGCTCAAGGACAGCACTGAGCACAGGCCAGGGTCCTGAGAGGCTAGGCGAGACCAGCTGCCACTCCTCTCAATGTCCTAGATGGCTGTCCCCAGGGGCCCTGCCTGCAAGCGCCCCCCTCCCCACCTCCCTCCGTGAGTGTGGGGCTCGCAGTCCTGGGCTTGAGCAGTTTTGTTTTCTCTCCCATAGGGCTGGTGGCAGTGCTACAGTGTTTGCTTTCACATTCCAGAGAGAGCTGGAGCCACCCTCACCTCCACCCCCACCCCCGCCAGGCCCAGAGACCGGGGATGAGCGGCTGGGGCTGCTGTGGGGAGCCCAGGGAGAGGCCCGAGGGTGGGGCCTGCCTGCTGCCCTCCCAGCTGAGACACAGTGCCCTGAGGGTCCCCCAGCAACATCCCAGGGCCCTGCCTTGCTTTACCTCTGGCATCCTGCAGTGGGGCTGTGGGCCAGGGAGCAGTGCCGGCAGAGGCCAGGCCCCAGTACCCCTACCCAGCTGGGGCCTGGGGCCGTCAGTGACCGCAGTGCTGAGTGACCAGCGGCTACTGGTGCTCAATTAAACATGGCGGTGGCCGGAGAGAGGAGGCAGCAGCTCAGGTTTCCCAGGACGCTCGGGGCTCGAGTGCGCGTGCAGGTGAGAGTGTTCAGGGTGGGAGTGCTCACTAGGCCCCTCCCTTAAGGGTGCTGGAGGGACTGACCCTGGGCCAGGCTGGGGGTGGCACTGAACTCGGCCCTCAGAGAGGGTCTCCAGGCCTTGGGCACCTGCCTCCCTGCAGCCCAGGCCACCCCCTGGACCACTCCAGGCCCCAGGCCTGCAATCTGGTTCCAAATCCCAAATCTGACTGTGAGTGCTCTGGTCTGCCAGTTGGTGGCCACCCGGCTGTGGGGCCAAGAGTGTTATTCCTCACAGGATGGGTGCCTTGCTCTAGGCTCAGGGCCTTCCTACCTGTCCGGAATACCCTCTTCCTGTCCAGCCTGTGCCCCTCCTCCAAGATTCCTTCCCTGACCCTCAAAGCCTCCCCAGAACCCCTGGGTACCCCCACTGCAGGCCACCATCTAGCACCATAACCCCAAGAACTCCAGGGACAGAGCTGCTGCTCTTCAGTTCCCTGGGGGCTTGACTGGGCAACATGGTCTACTGGGGGTGAGAGAGCCCAAATTCTCCAGAGCCCCACTATACAGACTTGTGTCCTCTCCCAGAAACACCTGGAGGTACAAGTGTGCAGCTTTGAGGAGGGCCCACACCTTCCCAGAGGCGCCTCTCAGGTATAGGCTGTCAGAGCATGGGTCCCGAAGGCTGGCTGGGACAGAGCAGAGTCAGAGCCCCGGCCATGCACGGAACCTGGAAGTGTGACATGACCACGCCTAGAATGTGGACATGGGCCCGGGTAGCAGAGGCACATCCCATGGTCAAGGAGACCAGGCATCCAAACATATGTTCCCAAACATGCTGCATAGCCACACAAGGCAACCCACAGCTGTAATAGGATGGCCCGGTGATACGGGTCCCTGTGGCCTCTTCCCACACCCTCCACATTAACCTTCAGGATAGGGTCTGTTAAAGCCCCCAAATGGGAAAAGAATTTGGAGGGCATCGATCTGGGGGAAATCTGGGGCCATAAGCTGAGGCTGAAGTCACATCTGGGTTTAAAACCATACTGACCATCCCTGCCTCAACCCAGCACAGCTGCCTCTCATCACACAAGCCAGGAGGTTTCTCCTAATGTCTAGCCTAAATCCCTCTCCTTAGGCGAGACCAGTGTCCGCGAAGCAACAAACCTGGCACTAGACCCACAAGCTGAGGGGCTGCAATGCAATGACCCAGCAGGGAGGCCCTGCGGGAGAGCAGGCAACAGAGGGTCTGGAGGGGGCGCAGGCGGGCCAGCGCATTGCTCACATTCCTCACGCCCAGCCCTGGCTCAGAGCACTTCCTGCCATCTCCCAGCCAGGCTCTCAGGCTCCCACGGCTCCCAGCAAGGCCGCCCCAGAACTGGACAAGCCCCGGCCTCCCAGCTGTGCCTGTAACCAGACAAAGAGGCTGGCATGGGGGTACCCCAGGAGCCAGGCTGTGCCCCCCCAGATGGTGACTCACCAGCCCTGGCAGAGAAAGGCCCCATTGTTGTTCAGGGTCCAGCTTGCTCACACCAGGGTCCTCTCTCCTGACCCTAGGGGACACAGGCTAAACTGGTTGCTGGGGTCCTCACTGCCCACCCTGCACCCACCCCACCTAACCTGCACAAGCCCCTGGGATGGGCTCCGTGGAGGGGCTCCTGGGACCGGGGCGGGTGGTGTGGAATTCCAGGAGTGGGCCATGGAGGTGGGAATAGAAGTGGCTGCCAGTGAGCATCCAGCTGGAGCGGCCTGAGCTCTCTGGCTGGCCCAGGCTGCCACCCCATTTATCTACCTCCCACTGAGGCCCAGGCTCCCCAGGGACAGGTGGGGACATAGGATGAGTCACTCTGGGGGACAGGGTGGTGGCTGAGTCCCCCTTCCTTACTTCAGCTCCAGCCCAGCGCCACCCCCGGCTAGGTTTCCGTCCCAAGAAGAGAAGGAAGTTGCTGGAAGGCCCTGCCCTGCTCCCAGGACTCATGGCTGGGGAGACAGGGAGGCAAGGGAGGAACCCTGTCCCAGAATAGAAGACAGTCCTCTTGTGGCTCATGGGGTAGAGGCAGGAGCAAGGAGCCCCAGAAGCCCTCTTGTAGGACAGGGTCCTATGCCAAGCAGTCACCCCCTGTAGGGCTCTGTTACCTCACTCACTCACAGACCCCAAGGGCCTCCAAAACCAGAGGATGAAGGCACAGACTGCGTGTGAGGGAGAGGAGTGCCCAGGGTCTAACAGTGCCCAGACGTGGCACCACTGGTTGCTAGTTGCCCTGGCTCAGTTTGGGGGCTGTCCCCTATTATCACTATCAGGATCAGCTGCACTGCAGATGCAGCCACCCCTAACCCTGTCTGGCCTGGGCCTGAATCACCACTGACAAGGCCCTGACAGCCCCCTAAGGGGGGTCCAGCCACCTTAGTGTCCTCCCCTGCCTCACCTCTCCCCTCCCAGCCCCAGGACAGGAGGTAAGGTAACTGAGGCGAGAGGGTGTAAGTGGCATGAGGGCCCTGACTCCACCTCAGCCCTTACCTCCCAGGGGCACGAGGGGTGGGCCCTTCACCCTGCACCAGAGCAAACCACACACATCCATCCACCTGGTTTCTCCTAACCCCTTAGAGCACAGCCCTGCATAGGAGCATCCCCCTCTCCCCACCCCCAAGCAGTGCTTCCTTCTGATGCTCTGAGCTCAGCCAGTAAAACTGGGGGTCTCTGTCCCCTGGGCCTCCTCTGGCCTTCTGGGGTCCCTGTCCCCAGGCCAGCCTGAACCACAGAGAAGCGTGCCAGTCAGGTCTCACTCTGATCCTCCAAAAATACACCCAGAGGAAGCCCCCTCCCAGAGCTTCCTGCAGCCCCAGAGCCTGAAATAGCATAGGGGGAAGGCTCCACCCAAGGGCAAGGTGGGCCACCCCATCCTGAAGATAAGGCCCGAGGGCGAATGTTTTCCACAGGAAGGTGAACTCAGCCGTTTGTGTCTAAATCAATGGACAAACGCCTGGGGGTGGGGTGTGAATGCCCAGGAAGGAATGAGGCTCTGATCTCAGGCTCAGGAGGGGCCCAGCCAGCACACCACCCCAGGACCCCCCTGAAATGACAAACCTGACCCTAACACCCCCTATTCCAGCCTTCGGTGGCCACAGGGCAAAACGCAAACTACAGGGCCTAAGACAACCCCTCCTTCACCCCACCCAGCAGTTCTCTGTCCTTGAGTAACCCCCCCCCAAACAAAAAGTGCAGGCCTGTGCTCCAGTCCAGGTCACAGGCACAGGACAAGGCAGATGTTGGGATCCCCTGCACACCCAGAAACTTTAGCTCTCACACCTCCACTGGGCTTAGGCCAGTGGTTTTCAAAGTGGCATCTGGGAACCCCTGGGCTTAAATCCCCTAAAGGGACTTGTTTTTCTTTAAAAATAAAAAAGGGAGAGAGGACAAGACAGACAATAACATGGGACTTCCAGGAGAAAGGAACTAGCAGCCCCAGGCTCTTCCTCCTGGCCTCCAGGTGCTTCCCAGGTAGGGTCACCAGCACACACCCCCCCCC